GGTTGTTCTAGCAACCAATCTAACATTGGAGACTGTTTTACACGTTCCACAGTTGCAGTGTAACTTTTTATTTTGTCAACAAGTTGAATAATATTGACTGTGTTGCTAATTTTTCTTATGGTTGTTGTGTTTTTTCAGGATCGTCGTTTGGGGAGGATGATTGAAACTGCTAAGAGAGTAGCCAGACTCTCCTACTTCCAAGAGAAGAGTATGGAGAGTGAGGACACATCTCTCAAGAGTGGTAGCTTATATCGAGTCATTGAATGCCCTATTATGTTGCATTTTTGTTCAGGTCATCGTGTTAAACTTCCAACCACCACAGCTCCTCTAGTCAGCTGTTTTTCCAGTCTGCCCGATCTACCCAACTGTTGGTTCCAATTTTTTTTTTTTTCAGTCGCTGGACATCCCTTGACAATAAAAAGTTTATATCCTTGGACGTTTTCTAATAAAAACCTTTATAATTTCGAATTGTGAAACTTGCTAGTTAGCTAAACATCATCGGTTTCATTACCAACCCCACATTTACACCCCTTTCGCTTTTTTCTTTTTCATTCACAGTGACCTTTGGGGGCCCTCTCATACTCCCAGCCGCATCTCCTGACTTTGATTGATGACCACACTCGAGTGACATGATTCTACCTTTTAAAGGACAAATCGACCACACTTATTACTTTATGTTTCAGTTTAATGTTCCAAAATAGTTTTGGAACGATATCATTTTCACTGCAACCTATCTCATAAATAGAGTCATTTCTGAAATTCACAAGTTTCAACCCCGCTAGTTGTTCTGATGTCTTGCTTCTCTGCCAATCGGGTCTTCTCCACCTTAGAACCTAAGATTTTTGGGTGCACTGCTTTGCTTGGAACACTGCCTCAGTTGCAGTGTAACTTTTTATTTTGTCAACAAGTTAACGAATAATATTGACTGTGTTGCTAATTTTTCTTATGATTGTTGTGTTTTTTCAGGATCGTCGTTTGGGGAGGATGATTGGAACTGCTAAGAGAGTAGCCAGACTCTTCTACTTCCAAGAGAAGAGTATGGAGAGTGATGACACATCTCTTAAGAGTTGTAGCTTATATCAAGTCATTGAATGTCCTATTATGTTGCATTTTTGTTTAGGTCATCCTAATTTTCAATATTTAAAAAGTTTATATCCTTGGACATTTTCTATTAAAAACCTTTATAATTTCGAATTGTGAAACTTGCTAGTTAGCCAAACATCATCGATTTCATTACCAACCCCACATTTGTACCCCTTTCGCTTCTTTCTCTTTCATTCACAGTGACCTTTGGGGGCCCTCTCATACTCCCAGCCGCATCTCCTGACTTTGATTGATGACCACACTCGAGTGACATGATTCTACCTTTTAAAGGACAAATCGACCACACTTATTACTTTATGTTTCAGTTTAATGTTCCAAAATAGTTTTGGAACAATACCATTTTCACTGCAACCTATCTCATAAATAGAGTCATTTCTGAAATTCACAAGTTTCAACCCCCTTAGTTGTTCTGATGTCTTGCTTTTCTGCCAATCTGGTCTTCTCTACCTTAGAACCTAAGATTTTTGGGTGCACTGCTTTTGCTTGGAACACTGCCCCCAATTGAAGTAAACTTAGTCCCAGATCCATAAATGTATCTTCCTTGAGTACTATGCCATTCAAAAGGGGTATTAGTTCCTTGATCCTACAACTAAAAAAATCTATATGAGTGTTGATGTCTTATTCTTTGATAGTGTTCCCTATTTTTCTAGCTCGATCCTAAGTGAGGGTGAGCTTGAGTTCTTAGACATTGTCTCTTATCCCACTCATATGATGTTCCCCTCATTGTTCTTGCCATTGAGGAGTCCCCTGTTCGGGTGAGTCCCCTAATTCAGTGAGTGCACCATCTCCTCCCACTATCTGTGTATACACTCGGAGCACCTAATCCAATGCTCCTACTCTGGAACCCGATACCTCCTTACAGGACCTTGACTCCACTGTCGGCGACATCCTTAGAATGAAAGCTCCTCTGGATGAGGAGGTGAGTTCTCTGAATAAGGTATGCAATTAAGCATGCTCTCTATATTATATGACAAAATATGTCTCTTTTTGCAGTTTATCTCCGACCTACAGAGCCTTTGATACTACCCTGATGGACCATCATATCCCAACTACTATTGAGGTTTCTCTTGCTTATCCGGCTTGGAAACGACAGTAATTGAGGAGATGAATGCCCTTCAGCGGAATCATACATGGAATGCCGTTGATCTTCCTCAGGGTAAGAAAATTGTGGGGTGTCGATGGATTTTCAACACCAAGTTCAACTCTGATGGATTCTTTGAACGCAATAAGACACGATTGGTCACCAAAGTATACTCATTGACCTAAGGAGTTGACTATGAGGAGACATTTGTTGTAGTTGCTAAGTTAAACATTATTTGGGTCCTGTTGTCCCTTGCAGTGAATATGGATTGGTTTTTGCTAAGTTAAACATTATTTCAACTTGATGTCAAGATTTCGTTCTTGAATGTTGAGCTTACAGAAGTGCAATACATGTTTGACCCTCCTAGCTTTGATTCTACTGCCTCCAGAGGGCAAGTGTGTAGGCTGTGAAAGTCCCTCTTTGGGCTAAAGTAGTTCCCAAGGTTCTTTTGGCCAGTCACAAAGGTGGTTGTGGGCCATGGTTTTACTCAGGCTCAATTAGATCATATTCTCTTCTTCTGACATTCCTCCAATGACCAGGTAGTTATCGTTATTGTCTATGTTGACAATATTTTTTTTTTAGGCAATGATCTTCTAGCAAGTCCTTGAAAGACGTTCCTGCTAAGTTCTTGAAGGACTTGGGATCTTTTCAGTACTTTCTAGGCATGGAAGTTGCTCGATCATCTCAGGACATTTGTCTATCTCAACGCAAATATGTAATGATCTTTTGGTAAATAACAATTTCTTCTGTGCAAACTCGTGGTTGTCCCTATGTATCCCAAAGAAAAATTAGTTGACATTTCCAATACCGTGTCTGTCAATAACCTCACTTCCAACGTCTTGTGGGGAAACTCATCTTCATCGCTCATACTCGCTCCGACATATGCCATGCAGTTGGTATGGTGAGTCAATTCATGCATGACTCTTATGAGCATCATCTCCAAGCTGTCCACCGAATTCTCCTCTATTTAAAATGTGTCGTCACACCTCTCGGTCTATTGTTGTTTTAACAGAGACTGATTGGACTGTCAGTTCATGATCGATGTTCCACCTTAGGTTATTGCTCATTTGTATGGAGAAATTTTGTCACATGGAAAAACAAAAAAAATAGTCTGTGGTTTTCCAGAGCAGTGCTGAAGTTGAATTCCGGTCCATGTCCTTGGGGATCTGTGAAGTCTTCTGGTTTCGCATCACGCTCCGTGAAATTTGTATGCCAATCTTCGTCCCACTGCAGCTATTCAATGATAATAAGACCGACAGCAGCACTGCTTATAAACCAATCTAACATGATCGTATTAAACATGTGGAGATTTACAGACACTTAATTAAGGAAAAGTTTGAGTCTAAGGAAATTTGTGTTCCCTTTGTTCCATCCAGTGGTAAACTAGCAAATATTTTCACTATGAATTTTCTTCGTCATTTGTTCGATTATTTTAAATCTAAGTTGAACTGTGCTTCAACTTGAGGGGGAGTATTAGATTTATAACGTAATATCTTGAGATTTATAACGTAATCTCTTGCCATTATTACTTATTATTAGCTTTTATTCTCTCATTATATATTTTCTATTTGTTTTATTTTGTTTTATATCTTTCTTTTGTTGTGCCTATTGTAATTGGGTTTAAATGCCTCTCATTGTATCAATAAAATTCTGCCGCTCTATTCCAATTCGTAACAAAATATTCATCATACAGAAATATATGATATGATAGGAGACAACATGATTTTTACGTGGAAAACTCAAAAGATGGGGAAAATTATAGGGCTTGGCTTATTCAAAGTAATTCACTATATAATTAAAATTATACAACACCACTATTTTCCCCAACTTAGTCAAAGTAATTCACTATATAATTCTTTCTCCATTGAATGTGAAGTTAAAAAAGAAAAGGTGATGAGAGTTGTTTTGGTGATATGCTTCGTGTTCTTAAGCCCTATTATAAATAGTGTTTAACGACATTTTAATGAAAAGGTTCAGCAAGTTTTACATATATACCATTCAATTCCTTTGTATATACATGTCTAACACCTGAACTTCAATTTTTACATATATTCCATCATTCCTATGCATGAAAAAGTGTATTTTATTTTCACAATAAGGTGTTTTTCACTTTTAAAAAGTAAAAAAAGTAGTAATTTTGATGTGATATTAAAGATTTGGGTGGTATAAATATAAAATGTAACGTTTAGGTGTTAGATATGTAAATACATAAGAATTGGGTGTTATGCATGTAAATGCCCCAAAAATTAATGTACAATAATCCTTGGCATAAGGGCAAGTTACATTTAAATTTAAAAATAATCTTCGATTGTACAAAATTGATGAGCAATTTTATAACTAATAGCTCAATATTTACTAATTTAGATATTTGCAAAACTATATCCTTGTTGTTTGTGCTCGAGTTTTAAGTTAATATGCTAAAACAGTTGAATACTAACCATAAGAAGGTAAAATGATAACCGTTTCATATTCGTTTCATATTTTCTTAATAACATGCTTTAATGGCCAATTAATTTATCCGTTTAATATTATATCAACGATGGCACTTAGTTATCTTATTCCACTTGAATAGGAACCTATATAAGTGGTATACAGAGGAATGAGATTTGTTCTTTTGAGAATTTTTTTTCTGCTTGTAAAATCTCCTTTTTTGCTACTCCCTTGCTGGAATCTTCATTTAATGCGTCATAACTTTGTTTTATATCTCTGTGAAGCAATTTGAGATAGTTATATTTATGTATAAAAGATGGCTTAACAATCAAACTAATGAGGTATGCCTAAACCATATAAACTTTCTTCGTTTGAAATTTTCCAGGTTTTCAAGCTCTTATTCAATATCAGGATATCACAGCCCAGTCTGGGAGCTTGTAATTACTTAGGTGGAAATTGTTGGTCAAAGAGAAAAAAATTATCTACAATTTAATATCACTCTGTCATGATCCGATCTAGGAGCTTGGAATTATCAAGATGGAAACTCTTAGGTTGGATGGAGGAAAACTATCTAACAATTTAATTTCAAAATAAAATAAAGTTCAAAGCACAAAAGAGTTATTATATTTCATTAAAATTATAATTAGAACAGTTTATTTATATTTAAACATTTCAATATAACATAAAATAAAATTGAACTATAATACATATTAGTTTGCATTTTTCGACACATGAAGAAAATTAAACTCCTTTTTTGCTACTCCCTTGCTGGAATCTTCATTTTATGCGATGCGACATTACTTTGTTTTATATCTCTGTGAAGCAATTTGAGATAGTTTATACTTATGTATAAAAGATGGATTAACAATCAAACTAATGAAGTATGCCTGAACCATAATGAAACTAATGAAGTATGCCTAAACCATATAAACTTTCTTAAACTTTCTTCTTGTAAACTTTCTTCTTTTGAAATTTTCCAGGTTTTCAAGCTCTTATTCAATATCAGGATATCACGGCCCAGTCTGGGAGCTTGTAATTACTTAGGTGGAAATTGTTGGTCAAAGAGAAAAAAATTATCTACAATTTAATATCACTCTTGTCATGATCCGATCTAGGAGCTTGGAATTATTAAGATGGAAACTTTTAGGTTGGATGGAGGAAAACTATCTAACAGTTTAATTTCAAAATAAAATAAAGTTCAAAGCACAAAAGAGTTATTATATTTCATTAAACTTATAATTAGAACAGTTTTTATATTTAAACATTTAGATATAACATAAAATAAAATTGAACTATATTACATATTAGTTTGCATTTTTCGACACCTGAAGAAAATTAAATAGTTGGTTTTCTTGTAAAATGTTAGTAACTAAATGTTTGAATTAAAACTACTCATTGGGCAAATATTTATTAATTACAATAATTCTTTCTTCATTTGAAAATTTCCATATAAACTTTCTTCGTTTGAAATTTTCCAGGTTTTCAAGCTCTTATTCAATATCAGGATATCACGGCCCAGTCTGGGAGCTTGTAATTACTTAGGTTTTTTTTGGGGTTAAAAATTAGGGGCATTTACATACATACCATCCAATTTTTATGTATTTACATACATAACACCTGAAATTTGTTTTTTTTCTTATAATAGCACTATTTTAACTTTTGAAACATGATATACACCTTTTCATGGATTGGTAAGGTGGCATATATATGTAAAAATTGAAGTTTAGGTGTTACATATGTAAATACATAAGAATCCAGTTTTATGCATGTAAATCTTCTTAAAAATTAATGGATTTTTTTAAATGTAAGTAATATTTGTCATATGATGCTTCCAGGGGCGAAATATTTATGATGGTTGTTGTCAGCTTGACATACAATTCTCCAAGTGCGATGAACTTCATCATAGTTTTTATATTTGCTTAAATTGATTATTTTTATTCAGTACTTATCATATTGTTATTTTCATTGCAGTTTGAACGAATTGCAAGTCAACTGTAATAACGACCGTTCAAGGTAATGTTAGTCATCTTATGACCTGCAAGATATTTGCCATTTTAAAGTCCCCACTGAAGAATGTTTGGTAACATTACAATATGTTCGAAAACATTAGATATTCGCCATATGAATGGCATGGAAATGGGATTTTGCATGAGAAGATTTAGAGAGTTCTAGTGTTTTGATTTTTTTTAAGATTTATTTAGTTTTAATTAATTTAGTAGTCAGAGTTTCTTATATTAAATTTAATGTTAGGATGATTATGAATTACTTAAATTTGTACTAGATTTTAATTCAAATTTTGGCCAGCTTTGTTAGGCATCCCTATTTTTATAAATCTAAATTTTATTGTTTTTAATTGGATTGCCCTATTTAATGATGTAGATTTGGAAGGATTCCTTTCCTTATTCTCTCTCTCCCTCTCTCCCTCTCTCTCTCTCTCTCTCTCTCTCTCTCTCTCTCTCTCTCTCTCTATATATATATATATATATATATATATATATAGAAGACATTAAAACTAGGTGATGATCATCTCCACAGATTAATATCAAATTAATACTTTATTTATTTCTAAATGTACTTGAATATTATTGAAAAAATATTTTATTGAGTTCAACATTTTGATGATCTATAATTGCTAGTTAGCATAGAGTTGTATGTTTTTGCACAACGTAATAAATGAAATTGTGATTGATGGAACTGTTGATTGCATGAACTTAATAATGAGGCGTCTCTTTTACCACAACAACAACATCAACAAGCCTTTATCCCACCAAGTGGGGTCAGCTGCATGATTCATTTTTCTTCTCCATTTTGTCCTATTGAGTGCCATATTTTCATTTAATCCTAAGAAATTATGATCATTTTTTATACATCATGCCCAGGCTTTTTTAGGTCTGCATATGCCTTTCTTAACATAAATCAAATCTAATGCATCTACTCTTCTAACCGGATCATTAGTTGGTTGACGTTTAATGTGACCAAACCATCTAAGACGACTCTCTCTAATCTTATGGGCCATTGGATCGTGAGGCATCTGTTTTACCAAATTGTAAAATTTGATACTTTTATCATGTATTTGAAAACATAGGTTTCTTTCTATAGGAGTTTCTTTTCTCTTTAAAATCCTTCTCTTTTTCCAAAAGAGTATCAACTTTTTTGATTTTTCTCGATTTCTAGATTGTTTTAAATTTTTTTAATATTTTGAACTCTAGCTATTGAAACATTATTCAATATTTTTTTATCATTTTTTATTCCTTTGTTTAATCTTTTGTTTGGTTAAGATGCATTTTCTATGTCACCTCATTTTTTTTTTCCTACATTCAATATTTCTTTTAAATCTTAAAAATTCTCTAATCAGTTTTTTTTAGTCTTGTTCAGAGATTTCACAAATCCATCTCTACCAACCGAACAAAGAGGTCACCCTTCTCAAGTATGACGCTCTT